TCCCTCTCTGCCTACGGTTTACCGGGCAGTTCTATTTGACGATATATATATATATATATATATATAGAGAGAGAGAGAGAGAGAGAGAGAGAGAGAGAGAGAGAGAGAGAGAGAGAGAGAGAGAGAGAGATTTCACTGCCAATTTGCACCCTCCCTTTTGACCTAGATGAGTGAAAGGTTTCAACAACTCCAGTCCCCTCCCCCTCTTCCGGTCACCCCACCGTCCCCCACTCCACTCCCATCTCCCCCTGGCCCCACCCGAACACCCTCCTCTCATCCCCCTTCACTCTCTTACCCCTCGCTGCCCCGCTGCCCTCCCAACTGCCTCTCCCAACCCCCCAACCTCCACCCTCCAACAAAGGCTCTGCCAACTGGCCTACGTATTGCGACATTCCAGCAAGAGTCACCGACAGGACCTGTTGTCATCTTGCACCGGCAGAAGGAGACAGACGACACAGTGGCCACAGCAGCATCAACAGCATGGCAATACTGCAATGGACCGCTTATATTGTCTCACTCCAAGTACATGCACCATGGGAGTTCACACAAAATCCACATCATAGTCCAGAGATGGTGAGAGCAGATTAGCACAGCCCAAAAACTCCAGTGAATGGTCTTATTATACAAGCCAGAGTTCACATCACCAAGCGCTCAACAGTGCAACATCATATCATGCAGATAAGTAGCCCGAGTCACTTAGCGCTCAACAACGCATCCTCCATCATCGCCAACCAGGTAAGTAACTCTCTCTCTCTCTCTCTCTCTCTCTCTCTCTCTCTCTCTCTCTCTCTCTCTCTCTCTCTCTCTCTCTCTCTCTCTCTCTCTCCTCTCTTGGCTTGTATCACTCAACCTCTCTGCCTCACTCTCTCTCTCCCTCACTCGAAGATCAACTCTGTATACATCCGCCTTCTGCACAAGCGGTTAACGGGTAGCTGAAAATTCAGGAATGAAAATTCTGAAGTGAGAGTTTTGGGCAGTCTAAAAATCCCGAATGGTCCTGAACTGGTGAAAGGTCCGAAGACCCTGAAAACTACCTGTTTAGGCAGGCTGCATCCCGAAGTGGTGAAAGGTCCGAACACCCTGAAAACCACCTGTTTAGGCAGGCTGCATCCTGAAGTGGTGAAGGGTGTCTTGAAGTGGTGATGAAAAATACGACTGTTGTTAACCTTCTCTCGCTCTAGCTATGCCTCACTCTACAACCATGTGGCTATGGCCGTCTGTCTGCCTCAGCATAGCGCTGCCCAGCAGGGCTTTTAGCGCTCAGCCACTCGTGATAGCACACAAGCACCAGCAGCGCTTCCACTTTCTCACGAATGAGTCAAGGCCAAAGTTTCTTTTATTGACTTGGACTGGGCCTCGCTTCACTTGGCCTGTGCTTGACAGGTTATGGGTCTGACTTTGACTGGTACTGGTCGCCCATGGCCTGTTTGCTTTTGGAATATTGATGCGCTTTACCTTCCAGACTTTTGTGGTGCGCTGCTGCATTTTTGACTGAGGGGACTTGACTTGAGGCTTGGTACCAGCTGAATGTTGACCCTGTGGGGTACCTGACATGACCATTTTCTGTTTCGGCCTTCTGGGCCTCTTTTGACTTAAGGACCTTTGACCCTGAAATTCGAATGTGGGATCTGCAGCGTGAAAAAGGCCTTTCAATACCAACAGGAGCAGGGGCCAGGGGGGAAGATGAAGAGGACAAGCCCACCAATGAAGGCTGGAAATATGAAGACAGCAGGCAAAAGTGACTCTCCTGGTACAGGGGTCAGGGGCAAAAGGCTACAGGGGATGGGCTCAAAACAACAAACAAAGGGGCTAACAAGGGGGGTGATGCCTAATATTCTTGTGGTATATACGGGACGCTGGGCTCGGTTCCCAGCATGTGCCGCTCCCCACAAAAAATACCGGAGTCGTCGCCCTAACGCCACCTACAACAGGCATGGGCTGTTATCCCTGTCTACTGGGGTTTCAAAAAAAAAAAAAAAAAAAAAAAAAAAAAAAACCTCCGTGCCCCGCACCTCCTCCCGGAAACAAATCTTTTAAATTTATTATTTATTTTTACTTTTGAAAGGATTTCACGATGTGTCCACGTCCCGAGTCCCGGTCCTTGAGTCCCACTGCGCCCAGTCCCAGCTGGTCCCGGTAGATCCCAGGTCCAGGTCCTAGGATTCCGGTAGGGCCTAGAGGCCGAAGCGTCGTAGGTCCCTAGGATCCAGTAGTTAGGCCGTTAGAAGTCGTAGGCCCAGTAGCCAACAAGAAAAGTCTGAAATCCGAAATCCTAAAATCCAATTTTGCAGCAGCATCCAGGGAAAGTCTGGTGGGTTCCAGAACTTGCAAACTGCGAGCAACAGGCCGCATCGACCGGTACCGGTCTGGAGCCGACAACGATTCACTTCAGCTGCTATTTATAGTTGCGCCAGTGCTTCATCGGGTCACTTGTCAATTCGTATGTCGCAGAAGCCCTGCTGGAGCGCTTGTGCGACCAACAGGTTGAAATAAAGGAGGAGGTTGAAGACGGAGGGCGATTGGGCGCCCCGTTAGGGTGGGCGAGGAGGACGACGGCAGCCACAGCCGCGAGGTTGAGGTTGAAGACGAAGTAGGCTTTAGACTAGTGTATTCAGGAAGTGAGAGTGAGCGATCCAAGTCTGAGGGAGATCAAGAGAAGAGAGAGACAGCGAGGAAGTGAGGATGAGCGGTTGAAGTATTGAGAGACATCGGAGAGAGAGAAGTGAGCGAGAGAGGTAGCGAGATTTCCGTTTCGGCTCATTGGCGATAGCAGCCATCAACAGCTTGTAGTCGAACCCAATTTTGTATCATAATAAAGAGTTTGGAGGTGGTTCATCTGCATGCGTGTTGATTCCTTGTTCGATGCTTGATGTGAATCTTCGGTGAATGCTCGGTGTGTTTCAAGTTCGATTGTTGATTGTTGCAGTTTTGGTTCATTGCACTTTTATCTTTTATGACAGAATACTATATAAGAGGCTGGACAGGGTCACTCTGGTCTACATCATAGTCTGGCCTTGAGCACTTCGACCCTCTGGGCCTCTGCAGGTCATTCGACTATTGCTCATGCTGTTTTTATTTTTGGTCAGTTTTTGAGCTTTTCACTGACAAATCCTTTGTCTTTCTTTCTTTTTTGGTTTTTAAAATCCTCTGTCTTTCTCATCCCACATATGTTACGTAATTGCGGGGTGGAAGTCCCGGCCTCAGGGTCCCAATTCTTCTGGGACCTGCACTTGTGAACTCAGAAATGGGACCAGAGGGTCCAGAAGTGCAGGTCCCAGTGACCTTCAGCTAGACCTGGGGCCACGCGACAACACATTATGTTTTCGAGGAGCTTTCTGATGTCTTTCCAGCTTTGCCTAAACGGTGGAGATAACAGATCCAGCGGTGGGTGCTTCTACATGAGCTTCAGGTAACCAAATATGAACTGGTACCATAGGTGATTTATACTTGGCAGCTGGAGAGAGAGGGTTCTACTGATGCTTTTTGATCTGTGGCCCTTGTGGGACTTGAGGCGAAAAGAGGGCTATACTTAAGTGCAAGGGATTTTCCATTACCCTGACCTTCTTCTCGCATTCTATTGTTAATTTTTAATTCGCAGAGTTCGTATGGGATTGCGCAAAATCTGCAGAACCTTTCTTGGTCGCAGAAATGGTGCCCTCGACAGCTGCTGCACGAGTACTACTGTTCCAGCTCCCCTCTCCGTTACCCAGCTCATGACGAAACGTTGTTACCCCCCTTGAAGCCTCTCAGTCAGCTATCTCCACTCCATGGACCAGTCTTAAGGGTATGCAAGACTCGTAGAATGTGTTTTGCTCTGTCTCGTGCGACGTCTTCTTTAACTGCGACCTCGATGGGCAGTCGAGCGTCAGACAATCTGTGCTCGAAATCTTATCGCACGAGCTGCAGGACCGTTGATGCCTCCATCGAGCGGTTGAGATATGGTGGTGGTGGCGGTGCCGGCGCCGGCGGCAGAGTGTCAGTGCCGATGGAATGGATTCTGGTTGTCAGGAAGAGTGGCAGGCTCGGCGTCCATCAGATACGAGCTCGTAACTCAAACAACAGTGAGTCTGAGGAGGACCCATGGGAGAGAGAAGAGAGGAGGTGGTTGAGGGAGGAGCAACGGTGGCTGCGAGAAGAAGAACGCTGGCTTAGGGAACATGCAAGATGGGAGTTGGAGAGGCAGAGGTCTGAAGAGGAGAGGGAGAGGCTGAAGAATGAGCTGGAATCCTTGAGGCACGAGCTCGAGCTTGCAACTGCCGCTCTCAGTCAACAGCCAGAGGTAGTTGGAGCAGCCTCCAGGATTTCGGACTTAGTTGACATCATCGAAAAATTTAGGGCGCTTGCAGGAGGAACCCAAGCTGGACTGGAGACGTTGGGCACCACTGAAAAAAAAAGGGCAAACAACATTCTAGGCGATGGGGCCGGAAGAATGACATTACCGGATGGAGGTAATGCGAAATCCAGCCCTTTTATGTTCTTCGAATGTGACCGATGGAAGTTTGGGTATGCGAAATCCTGCCCTTTTGTATTCTCCGAATAGGACTCGTTGAAATTTGAAAAGCTTAACAGATGTACCTGCCTGGTCATGGAATGCATGACACGTGTAACACATCCAGGTCGTGGAACGCATGACACGTGCAACACATCCAAGTTCATGCCCGGCCGGGCACCCGGGGATGTATCCGGATTCCGGGCACAAGTGGGTTGCCCGGACGGGCGCCTGGACAAACAGCCTAGGAAAAAAAAAAGAGAAAAGAAAGGCTTCAAAGTTCAAAGTTCATACGTAACGACAATGAATGTGAACGCAAAACTGTTTGATTGTTGGTGCATGTTCATTCACGATGACATCACAATCCATTGAAATTTCGAAACCATGCCCAGCTATGATTTGTAACTTATTTGTCTGAAGCCCTTCCTCTGCTTCTGGGTACTGTTCATTCATGCAGCTGGCCTCGCAAGGCGTTTTCATGGTACAAAATGAAAATCTACATAATGCAATTATCATTGCAATACATTGGCATTATGCATTTGGATTATGCTCTTTGGAACATAATGATTCCCGCCGCCGTCCTCATCAGCATCGTCATCATCACCTTTTCTCCTCATCCGGAAATCCCTAAGTGTTGGATATGCTCTTACATTCTTGCGAACGCCTCTACTATGTAACGTTACGTTAACGTGCATCAATTGGACAAATTGTCAAATACGTATATGAGACCCTAAAGGAGCAATACGACAAACACGATGTCTCCTATGCACTCCTGATCGGACGCCTAGAGCACCGATACCCTTTGTCGCCATATCCTTCCCATCCCCTCCACCTGCCCTCAGATCGCCACTTGCAGCCATATATCCCCTCCATTGTCCGGAATGCACAACTTCAGTCACCATGTCTTTGAACTCACATTGGCCAATGCTGAACAGCAGCTTCGCATGCGATGTCCTTCAACATGTGGTTGACGACTTGTGATGCATTCACAAGTCTGCCTGCTCCCCCAGAGTGCTGCAGACTGCCCACCTGCTGATACAGCTGCTTCCGCACCCATGGAACGAAATCAGGAGAGTGTCGCCTGAACCGAACTACTTGCAATACTCTCTCTCTCTCTCTCTCTCTCTCTCTCTCTCTCTCTCTCTCTCTCTCTCTCTCTNCTCTCTCTCTCTCTCTCTCTCTCTCTCTCTCTCTCTCTCTCTCTCTCTCTCTCTCTCTCTCTCTCTCTCTCTCTCTCTCTCTCTCTCTCGCTTTTTTAACTTTTTTTTTTTTCTATACTTACTCCGATATTTCATAAACAGCCACAACATAAACATTTTCTTTTACCGTTTGATGAATTTCCTATTTATTTCACATATAAATATTAAATGTCAATTTTCAGATGATCCAGGCGATTTGCTGCTAGGGGTGTTGTGAGAAGTTCATTGAACCTGATCATTTTGAGGAAGGAGAAGTCGTGACAAGGTTTCGTACTACTAAATTCGTAGGTGCACCTGCTAAAGGATGATTTAAAAAAATAATCATTTGCTATTTTCGTTAGCAACCCCCAGCAGCAAACCGCCTGGATCATTTGAAAGACAATGCTGTTCAATTGCAACTGAATTTACTGAAATGAATTTCTTGTCTCCTTGGGGTCTGATAGGAAACTGGTTTTTGGAATGCGACTGATGGATGATGCATCGTTAATTTTAATCTTTCGTAAGGGGGACAGGGGCTCAATCTCAAGGGCCAATGCGATTCGTCAGATGTTCGAGAAATGCTACCCCCGCCTGCTGACACTGAAACGAACAGACGAGAAAACAGGGTCCTGGGATTTTATTGGGTGTCAACTGAATATCGATCAGCAGTACCCTTTTTTGCAAAGTGCTCAGGTAACCAAAAATCAGCGGACTATTTGGGGGCTGGGCCCCGTGGTGTTAAGAACTGGCCAGGACTCGTTATCCTGGTCCGATGCGAAACAGAAGAAAGCTGCAATTACGGGCTGGCTTTGTCGTATCGATCGAAACAATGAATCGAGAGGCAATTCCAAAGCAGGTTCTGACACTGCGATGGGAATACCGTGCGAAAGGTTTTTCAGATGAGCTTTTTGGTAACGTCGTGAGAAACTTCGCACCAAACCGCGGCAGGGTCTGGCAGTTTGCGGGCGAAATAGTAGGCGTCTAGAAGTTAATAGGAGGTCGTAGGTGGTAGTATAAATATTAAATAGCTTAGCTGTATTTTTCTTAAGTCCTTTTCAGCTTACATGACTCCGGGGTTTGTGCTCCGGCACGGGTTGGAGGAAGATCGGTGCAGTTTAGGGAAGAGGAAGGGGGATGAGGATAGCAGTTCACGAGGCCACTGTTGAGTCCGTTTTCGCAGTACTCTTGGGCGTGGCACTCTTTGTTTCTGAATCTCTCAAATAATGCTATGTCTTTGTTGCTTTGGACTCCGGTTCTCGACACTTGATTGAGTTGCTGTCGCCTTCGTCTCGTCACGTCTCGTGTTCGTTTCATTGCGTATGCTTCCTTTCTTCTTGTTGTGAACTCGTGAAAACCTTGGTCTGTGTAGACTATGCGTTTTTCTTACCTCTATCTTGCAGTGCATCAACTCAAAGAAAGACAATGCCGTTCAATCACAACTGAAATGAAAGAACTTGGAAAGCGAAATAGACAAAGGAGGAGGAAGAAGAAGAAGAAGAAGAATGTTAATCACCCTTCACCTCGGCGCCATCACCAACCTCCAATTACTCCCCCAACTTCTTCTTATTAATAATAATAATAAGAATAATAAGAATAATAAGAATAAGAATAAGAATAAGAATAAGAAGAAGCAAAGATCACTGTCAATCACCCTTCACCTCGCCACCATCACCAATCTCCAATTACTCCCCCAACTTCTTCTTAATAATAATAATAATAATAATAATAATAATAATAATAATAATAATAATAATAATAATAACAATGAAAGAACGAGCCAGGACCAATGTTCAAATCCTCCCCTTATTGCCAGCCACTCAAGAGGTCCACCATAGCCATCTCATACAGCTTCCTCCTACTTGGTCAAGCATGTGGCTATGGCGAATTATCGGAGTGAAGCTCCGATGTTCACAGGAGTCAACGGACAACACGAAGCTAATGTGTCCCTCCTACTACGCCAATCCTAGCACCACCCCCAGAGTATTCCTTCAAGATATCAACCATAGCCACTTCGGGCCTTCCAGCGGGGTGCAGCACCAACCAAGAAGATGAAGATGCAGACCACCATAGCCAGGTAAGCTTCCCCATCACTCTCCTCCTTGCTCACCGTCCTCTTCCTCCTCGTCCTCCTCCTCCTCCCCCCGCAGTCTCCTCCTTGGTCCTCTCCACATAGCTGAGGGTGAGGGCAAAGCCCACCTTCTTCCTCCCTGGCTGTTGCATACTAGTGAATGCCTTCACCAAGTATGGGCAGAACCAAAGATCAACCAATATAGGATGAGCATGTATGCAGCGGAAGTCTGAGAAATGGACTGACTCACATAGACTGAACTCACCTAGACATCACTCAATCCACAAGCAATCGTGAGATGGTGGGGTCTGAAGCCATACATAGACGATGCTTCAGCCCCGTACACCCAAACACATATGAATGGTGGGAGGAGAGACGATGGAGGTGGGAGATAGGGACAGCGCCAGATGTCACCGAAATAGAATCCAAAATGTCACCGATATAGTAGCCCCAAAATGTCACTGAACAAAATCAGAATGGCGTTGACATAAGTCACCAATGTCGGCGGTACAGAATCCTGATGTAACCGGTGTCCGAGCTGTGATGCCGCCAGGTATCAACCCCAACCGTCTCCAATGTCTCAAATCCGGTAAGTATCACATCCTCCTACCACCGAAGTCCAATCACTGATCTCTGTCCAACTTGTATCAATAGTCTCCAGTCTGAAGAAGAAGAAGAAGGAGAAGAAGAAGCCTGAAGAAGGAGGAGGAGGAGAAGAAGAAGAAGAAGAAAGAAGAAGAAGAAGAAGATTCGAGAGGGGCAGAGGAGAAGTGGAGGCGGAGAGGGGAGAGAGAGGGGCGGAGGTGAGTCCTCCTGCCCGTGCCTTGCTGTCCAGGTCTTACCTGCGACGGCAAGGTGTGACCTTGGCGCTGCTGAAGGCCGGCGACAAAGACCGGAGCTATGGACGCTCCTGCAGGTAAGTCGGCCGCTCTTCCTGTAACCTCCACTGCGCTAATCTGCGCTGCATCCTGTTGATGCGCTGAGCGCTTGCGCTACTAAACTTAGCGCAGTGCTACCTCCTGCTGCGTTCCTCCGCAATCCCTGAAATGGCCGTTGGCTGGGCCTAAATACTGGCCGGCGGTCGGTTCGGCCTCTGCCTCCCAAGGTGGCCTCCGATCTGAACCGTCGGATCTCTCGTCCGATCCGTGGTTCAGGTCGGACCGGTTTTCGGGAAAGCAGGTTGCCTAAACGGTGGCCTGGTCCAAACGAAAATGTTTGGTCATTTCCCGCCCAGGGCCTGTGGCTGCAGGGCCTGGTCTAGAACCGGTTGCGCAAGGCCAACGGGGCGGCCTAAAAAAAGTCCGGCCTTTGGGGCGGCCTGGCCTGGATCATCGCGTCCAGACCCTCGGAACCCCTCAGCCTAGTCGTCGGGCCTGAAAGGGCCCGTGTGGAATGCAGTATGTAACACTGGTGCTGCTTGGCTGAGTGCTCGCTTCAGCAGCCAGTCGCCCAATTTGCACCGCTGCAAATGAGGAAGAGCTCTTCACTATTTCCCTTGATACATCGGACTAGTGCCTCTTCGTGTGGTCACTTCCAGGCCGCGCGGCCTCCAAGTCTGCTCAGTACCTACCGCTGCTGCATGGAGGGAAACATCATTGCAGTCTGATATCCCTCGACGGCCAAGTCGTCTCCAGGCTCTCGACTAAGGCCGACTTGGACCAGCACCTTTTTCTCTAAGCCCACCGGACTCCAAATTCTACTTTGGCCTCTAAGGGTACTAACTTTTTTCAAGTTTTTTGTCGTCTTCTGCCTGCTTCCCCGCTACTTTTTTCAAGTTTTCGCCTTCGCGGGCGTTTTCCTACGTTATATTACCCCGCTGCATCCTCACAACGACACGGCCACAGGTTAAGTACCAGGCCTGTGGGCCTTCTCAGCACACAAGTACCCCAGCGGGTCACACACACACACACACACACACACACACACACACACACACACAAACACACACAACCCGCATGCAATCGTGCAGGCAGGCAGGCAGGCAAACACATGGAAACTCAGCAATCAAGCACGCACACAAAAACTTAGAAACCTCAGCAGAATACGGGAATCTCAGCAAGTCACTCAAACAAGCAGCAAAACTCAGAAATCAGCAGGTTTCTGAGTCTGTGATTTTTTGCAGGTCACTACATTACTACTTCCTTCCTCAATTACAGTTAACTTTCACAGCATGGGTTTTACAGAGAGTTAACTTCGTCTGACTCGTCAATTGCAGGTAACTTTGCTTTCACAGCGTGGGTTTTACAGAGAGTTAACTTCCTCAATTGCAGTTAACTAACTTAAGTTTACTTTCACAGCTTGGGTGTTACGGAGAGTTAACTTCCTCACTTGCAGTTAACTTTACTTTCACAGCATGGGTTTTACGGAGAGTTAACTTCCTCAATTACAGTTAACTTTCACAGTGTGGGTTTTACAGAGAGCAGGTTTTTCGTGCTGTGAAAGTTAACCCACGCTCCGAAATTAACCCACGCTGTGAACGTTAACACACACAAACTTGGATCGTTCAAGTCGAACTGCATAATAGTCGATGAGTGACTTCTAACTTCTAAGCGATTGTTTCCTGACAAAATAAATGTCAATTTCTTCTTTTTCTTAAATTTCTTTGCCATAAATATTAAATGTCAATTGTTTTTGTGTAGCAGTACTGCAGAGAGAGGACGACAGCGTGGGCTTCACAGAGAGCAGAAGTTTGGCGAATACGGGATCCGATCATGAAGCTTTGTCATTCGTATCTGAACCAAGCCCTAGGGCAGGAGCGGGAACAGAACCAGGACCAGGAACAGCAGCAGGAACAGGGGCAGCAGCATCGAAAGCAGAAGCCTCTTCAACAACGGCAGTTGGCAGCGGTGCACTAACCGTCAACGGACATGGGCGAGCTGTTGGTGGTGCTGTACCTGCAAAGAGGAGGACTCTTCGGTTTGGCTCGGAAGGAGATGATGTGAAAGTCCTGCAGGTAAGTGTGACAGGGATCAGATAGGGGCATTCCCCATTCCCCGCCCCAAGTCGCAGCCCCCTCAGCAAGCAGCGCATGCAGTTTCTCGTTTTTTTGGCGTGGTCATGAAGTTATGATAATGTAATGTAAGCTACTAAGCTTTGTTTTTTTTTTTTTTAATAATGAATTTGGAGAAAAATACAAGAAAAGTAATTGAACAAAGGACAAAAAGAAGTAAAAGAAAATGTAAGCTAGGAAGATTTTCATGACCGGCCGGTCACCCGGGCATGACGCCCGGGTGACCCGGTCATGGCAAAAAAAAAAAAAAAAAAAAAAAAAGACGGTGGGGTTTTCCCGCGCTCTCCGTAAATGAATTTTAAAGGGGCTAAACTTATGCAAGTTACGTAACTTATGTAAGCGAATAGTTGCCACTGGAGTGGAAGCTGGGGAAGGCGCAGCGTGCCTGGAAAGTTAAAAAAGAAAATCAATTTTCAATGTTTTTCATTACAGGAAAAATGAAAAGCTAGTAAAAATGATAAAAACCAGATTATGAACTATATGAGACCTGTTTTTTTTGTGGGGAAAAAAGGAAAGGAGAAAGACCAGATTATCTGGCTGTTTGCCAGTGACTGGGATGGGCCAGTCCCAGGCAAGCTCCTGGGGCTGTTCCCAAGCAGGTGCAGCACAAAATCATTTTGCAAGGCATAATTCTTTTTTCCCTTTTTGTCCCGTTTGGTCCCTTTTGGTATGTATCCACTCTGCAGGATGCACTTGCCACCGAAGGCTTTTACAGTGGGGAGGAAGAGATGGAGTTTTGCATGTTTGATCGCGGGACCGAGAGAGCGCTCAAGACGTACCAGGTTCTTCTCGTGGCCTTGCCTGAACCTTCCATCTGTTTGCTTGCTTGCTGGTTGGGCAAAAAGATAGATAGCTGCTTCAGCCTGAGAAGGAAGTGCAGTCTTCTTCAGGCGTACTCACCACTGAATCTGGCTGCCGTTTCACTGTCAGATTCAGGCTCTGAAGCCTTAGCCGGAGTACGCCCTTTGTCTGATGATGTCAACTGTTAGTCAGTCGGTCTCTCATGTCATGAACTGTGCTCTTGAATGCTTTTTTTTTTTTTTTTTTTCCCTTTTGAGCTGTGGTTGACTTTGTTCATAACTTCTTTCCCATCTGTTGCGAACGTTCGGGTTCGGTTACCGTACACGAACACAATGCTACACAGGGGGACAGTTTGAGGGAAATAATGAAAACAAATTTTAATGATTTTCCCCTCAAAATGTCCCCGACAGAGAGAGCCTGCTCGGGAGTGGCCCGTGAAACATAACCTTTCTTTTTTTTTTTTTTTTTTTTTTTTTTAAGGTTTTTTTCAACATACAAATTTGAAATTTTTATGCATTCCTTTCCTTGATCTGTCAAACTCTGACCTGTTAGTACTTTTCTTTTTCTTTTTTTTTCTTTTTTTTTTTTAAAGAAGTTTTTTCTTTTTCTTTTTGTTTTCCCAAAACTTAAATAATTAATCCCTGCATCTGACCTCATCAGCCTTTCTGTCTCTTTCTTTTTGTCCGTTTTTTGCTATCGAAAACAACAAGAAAAAAACTTGGATTTCACTAATTATTTGTCCACAGGGTCGATCACCAATCAATTTGATGCACCGCTAAGTTGTCAATTCGACTTTACCCTGCACAACATTGTCGACCACGTTCAGTGCATCAGCAAGATGTCCACTTGTGCTGGTTATAGTCTGAAAGCTCTGAAATACCATCTTTTGTTCGTGTTTCAGCCTTCAAGAAGGTGAAGGAGAGAGAGAGAGAGAGTGTTACATGCCCAGTTGGGCGATGTACATAATAACTAAAAGGGCCTTTACCCGATATAGGCCTCAGGCCTTGTAAAAATAGAGCAGCACGGGCCTTGTAAAAGTAAAGCATTGTGAAAAGGTATCTTGCCAGGACTCAGAAACGTGAAAACAGGTCAAAAGTCAAGTTCTCTATCAACAGGCACATCTAAATCTAAGGCAAAGGGCATTATCAAAAGACTTACCTGTTC